TTTTAATTAAATTTGTGGAAATTTAATTCTTTCAAGTTTAATGTAATTTTGTATTCATTACAATTCAGCTTCTTGCTGCCAATGTGAATTTTTAATAAACTTGAACTTTAACTTGTCTTACAATTAGTTTTTACAATTGTGGTTGACATGTTACGACATTTCAAATAAAATGGAAATGTTTACAATTGTAGGCGAAATGTTTCTAGATTTGTGGTTAAACAGGTTGATTACACTTGTGGGCGATCTTTTTTTTTTTTTTTTTTACATTTGTGGCTATTTTTGCATTTGTGGTTGACATGTTTGTTATAACATTTGTGGTAACTTTGACATTTGCAGGTACCATGTTTTTCCATTTGTGGTTATTTTTACTTGTGATTGATTTTTATATTTGTGGGCTCTGAAGTCCTCTCTACACTGTAAGCGTGGAAGATTTAAACGCAAAGCTTCACGAAATATTATCCCGTTTTTGTGACATGTTTAAAAGCTAAACGTGTTTAGGCCCGGCTTAATGAGCTTAGGTTTTCTGAAGTGTTTAGCATTAGATGTGTTTAGGTAGTAATTTACATCATGATGTCAAATACCTAAGCACATTTAATTATAAACACGTCAAGATCCTAAGCACATTAAGATGTAATATAATGATGACACCACACCAATCAATCTAATAATGTTTCAAGCTCAAATTTATGTCATATTACAACGTAATAATTTTAATTCGTTTTTGACTTAATTAGTTAAAGAAAAGCAATTTAAAATGGTAATTTAAGTCCATTTCCGGGCATCCAGATGTACAAAATAATGAGTATTTTCGCACCCCAGCGCCAACAATGACATGGTCCGCACTCTCTCTTTCTCTCTCTCTCTCCTTCTCTCCCCTCTCCCCTCTCCCCCACGCCCGCCTTCTCTCTCTCTCACACAGATTTATAGATGGTAACTTAAAATGAGTTTACATGATTTGTCAACGTGTATCTTGGGCAAGAATCCAAGACATTATCACCGTTTGTTTATAATGTCCTGGACATGATGAATCCAATTCCGACACATGTGGTGTTCTGATGGTAATATAACAGGACAATGCCATAGGCCTAATTAAGGTAGAGTTGTTTATTGGAGATTATTAATATACTGTAGCTAGTGAAGTCACACCTAAATGTATGGTAGTAGGATGATTGTAATCTTACAGCAGACTTCTCCAAGTTAGTAAAATGCATTTCAGTCACCAGGCTTGTAGGCAGGATTTTCGCCGTGGGGAGGTGTGTTTTACTAGCGAAGCTGACCTGAGGCATTCACACGTACAAAAATCTTACCAAATGTAACAAAATGTAACCAAAAGTAACATTTTACGGCACGTGTGAAAGTACCTCCGTGTAGTTTCCTTGTAAAATCTCGGAACGTTTCGGTAATATTTACTAGCCTCGCTGAGGCTGGTAAAGCTTCCGAGATGTAACATGGATGGATCTGCGCATGCGCAGGGATTTCAACACAACAACAATCTACTGTTTCACGGGGTTCTTTGAATTGTCTTCCTTCTGCATACGATTCTGATCATGGAGGTATAAAAATTTTATTTTATACCTCCATGATTCTGATCCACTAGAAATAGATAGGTCTAGTTTTTCTCAATGATGAATGAATTACCCTTGTTATTGATGTTAATTAGTAATGGTAGAAGAAGAAGATATACATAAAATGAACGTCGGGATGGTGTTAGTACTATTACTAGTAAGTAAGTAAGTAACTTTATTGCTTCTCTTTTATAACAGAGGCACAGCCGTAAAGACGTGCAACAATAACAAAATCAGTAAAAACTTAATTACTGTGATTAAATATAGTAAGAA